GCCATGTTTGCTTTACCTTTTTCTTCTTATTCCCAGATAATGTTCACTTTCAACAAGCAGCACAGATCTCCAAAGCTCTCGTTGATGCCCAGGTGGATTTCCAAGCAATGGTATGGCTCTCTGTTTATAAGTAATGTTGTCAGGGTTACAGTCTCTCATCTGATCTACCTGCCAGATCTGAGAGGAGAATGTAGCTCTTACTTGTATCATCTCAAGAATGTGCATGTATTATAGGGAGGCATAAGTAGTAACTGCCTTAGTGAGGTTGTGCTGAGATTTGTACTCAAACTAGGATGACAATCTCTTCCCCGGTTTCTGGATCTGAATTTATTCACCAAATTTGGCAAAATAATTGAGGACAAAGTAATTTCCTGTATAATTTTTTAGTTAAAGTGGCAACTTTTGCAGAGGGCCTAGAGGAAATTTTGTCTTTTTGAAATTTCACCCTGTTATCCTCATGTTTCTTAGGGTTCCTTTAGCTCCATAAAGCACAGCTCATCATACTTCACATTCACACTCTGATAATACCTTGTATGTGGGCCACATCTGAAATTTGTAGTTAAATCCCAGAGTTCTTCATTGTTCACAGCCATCAGCTACTTGCCTTTTTTGATGCTACATATGAAAGCTAAGAAATCTAAGAAAGCTAAGAAAATCCTGTTAGCACAGAGGTAGGGCTGATAGTATGTCCCACCAGCACACACCACGTAAGAACTAGGGGTCACCAAATAGGTAGAAACAAATAGGTAGAAACAAACAAAAGGAAGGGGTTTCTTTTCATGCACAGTCACATAGTCAACCTGTGGAACTCCTTGCCAGAAGAGGTTGCAAAGATAAGGAGTTTAACGGGGTTCAAGAAAGAACTAGATAAATTCATGGAGGTTAGGTCCATCAATACTTATTAGCCAAAATGGGTAGGAATGGTGTCCCTAGCCTCTATTTATCAAGGGCTGGAAATGGATGACAGGAGAGAGATCACTTGATAACCTGTTTCTGTTCACTCCCTCTGGCATTGGCCGCTGTCAGAAGACAGGGTACTGGGCTAGATGGACCTTTAGTCTGGTCCAGCATGGTCATTCTTATGTTCTTATAAAGCAAGGAAATAACTAAGTTGCTCAGTACTTCATCGACATTCCACACATCAGTTCCCCTTCTCAGCCTCACCTGCCTCCACCATCATTCCAACAACCAGCGGACGCACTGGAACTCTGTTAATTTGTTTGATTACATATGTGTTGTTTATGTATGTTGCATGTATCAATTATATCTACCTCTATACAAAACTTCTGCACAGTGTAATACTGTTTTTCTTTTCCCTAGTGGTATACGGACAAAGACCATGGCATTGGAGGACTGGCACATAGCCATATTTATACCCATATGAGCCATTTCATTAAGCAATGCTTCTCATTGCCCTAGTTCCAAAATGGCATTTCATACCATACTGGGATTTCTCTATCAAGTTGTTAATAATGGCACTTTTCCAGTAGATTCTTTCATCTATACTTGCACTGAGCCAATATAGCTATTTTTATGAACATCTGAAAACAGTTTTTTAAATTCTTAATGACCACATCATGTCCATTTTTATGACAATCTCTGTTGCCAAGCAACTATTGAATTTTTATTTAAATTTGTTTTAAATCAGGTTTTACAGCACAAGAATGTTTACATGCCATTTGCCAAATTTCTTTTTTTAAACTATGGTGCTTAAATGAATACTTTTTTGTACTTTCTACTTTCACTCTAAAATGGAAATGTAACATATAATCTGGTTCTTATATTAGTGAGACTGATTGATAAGTTACTCATACATTCACAGAGTTGCTAGCTGAATAGCATAAAATTATGGATTTGAAACATACTTTTTGATGTTATCCATGTAAATTTTGACAGTTGCAGGAAATTATTGGGAGGGGGCAGACAATTACTGAATGGCAGTAGATGTTGAGAAAAAGCTTTATAACCATTAAAACATAAATTGAAATCACGTCGTCGAATATACAAAGTAAATATCCTTAATTAAAACTAAGTTCTCAACCAGCATTTTTGTTCCTGGACATTCTCAGTTTTGATGCAATAATATTTTGTTAGTTTGTACATGTACAGTGAAATTGATATTTATCAAGAAAATTTAAATCCTTTCATGCCTAATTATAACCTGTCAAAAAAACTCAGATGGCTAATAGAGGTCTTTTCTGAAGTTTACTGAAATCTGAATATTTTTACTGAAAATCAGGATGAAATTTTCAACAAAAACTTCTGCAAAAATGATGTCCCCTGCCCCCTTTAACCAGCTATACTAAAAAGAGCAATAAGGGAGACTTACATATTACATTTCTTGTAGAAAACACTATTTTTTTCAGAACAATTCAATTCATCAGATGACATGATGGATCTACTCTGTAGGATTATGTAAACACCCTCCCATGCCAACAAACACAGATTGATTATAGGAAAGCTCTGCAAAGTCCTTCACAGATACCTCTCAAAACAGTGGGGTTAAATTTCACAAGTGCCTAAAGGGCACCAGCATTGTGGCACTTACTCCTTAATCAGATAACCAGGTTTGCTTACATGCAACATGAGCAAGGATTTTTGGCCACTGTTACTTAGTGTAATCTTTGAGAGGCATCAACTGTATCACCATGGGTAGGTTGCCAGTGTTTAAGATACAGATAATGAATGAAAAAGGATAATGCAACCTGATCATCTAACAATCTGTGGGAACAAAGACTCAATGATGTCTTTGTATAGAAATGTGCTATCGTGTCAGAGTTTTCCACAACCTTCCTATAAAATTCTCTCAGACTTATCATGTTCCACTTAACAGTCTCCATGCTGGAAAAATCAGGACTAGTATGAGCCTTTTAGAATTAAAAATAAAGAGACCATACAGTGCTGTAGCTTTTGGCAGAGCTCTCTGTGCCCTGTATGGAAAGAGCTAAATCATTTGTCTTAAAACCAGAACAGCAAACTTGTAATGGACTAAAGGCATAGGTATGGACAGAATCAATATTTTGTTCTGTACAATAGTGATAGAAATGTAGCTGTGTTAGTCTGGGGTAGTTGAAGCAAAATGCAGGACAATGTAGCACTTTAAAGACTAACAAGATGGTTTATCACTTCTGGTCTGGCCCACGAAAGCTCATCATCTAATAAACCATCTTGTTAGTCTTTAAAGTGCTACATTGTCCTGCATTTTGTTCTGTACAGTACCTGTAGTTCTTTGTCAAAACTCCAATAACAAATACATTTTTGTAATGAAGAAAAATTAATCCAATGCAGAATTTCCACCCTTTTCACAATTGTGTTTGTTTAGCCCTTGGTAGTATTGTGTAACAAACTACGACATTACTATATGACATTTAGCACACTGGGTTTCTAACCTATCAGGTAGTTATTACATGTGCATGACGGGTTAGTAATCTTAGGTGTGAATCTAGAAGTAGTCAGATTAAAATCCAGGGAGGAAACAAACTCAAAGAAGCATTAGTGTTCCATCTCCATGAAGATACAGACTGGCTTCTAGTGGAAACAAGGCTGCAGTTTTCACAAACGTGTACTTTGAAAACAGTACAGCCTTACCTCATTTACTCAAACAGATCCCTCCACCTCGTGTGATTGATAGGATTATCTCCATTACAGTGGTGTTTTTAGGTGTAGGACGACAATAATTAGATATGCTGAAAGCTATAGAAGTGATAAGTAACTTTTCCTTCCTTATTTATGCCAGGGGAAGCACATTAAAGAAACATTAAAAAATAGCAACCATGATAAAATAATCTCTTGTGTAGAAACCTTTTTATTTTCAATGGGCCTCAGCTCTCCCCCGAGGACAGGTATGAGAGCTTCATAAAGGATAGTACAGCTTTCCTTCATTAGTACTCACTGCAAATAATAGGGAGTGCTACCAATTGAAACAAATATCTCTTAGTCATATTAATACCACTCTATGCCAGAAATCTACTGACCGCTATACAGGCAGTCCCCGACTTACGTGGATCCGACTTATGTCGGATCCGCAGTTACGAACGGGGCTGCCCCGGAGTACACGGACTGCGGGACCTCGCGGTCCCACCGCCCGTGTACTCCGGGCGAGAAAAGCTGCTCCGCGTCTCCCTGGTCTGCAGACCAGGAAGACGTGGAGCAAAGCTGCTGCCCGAGGCCCCCCCTCCCCCGGCTTTGCAAAGCCGCGGGGGGGCTTGGGCAGCGGGGCAACCCAGGCGCGCC